TTTTTTCTCCATTAGAGCAACCACATTACGAAACTAGTAACTATCGATAGATGAAACGTATATTTCTTACTTCGATGAATAAATGATTTGATTTGACCTAAGTTTACAATGAAAATTATTGTATAAATATTTACAGCCGACAGATTATCCCAAAATCCAAGCTGAGAGGCATTAATATTATATCGGTGTTCAATGTAACGCTCCGTTTCACAATAGACATATCAAGTTCAGTTGCCTTGACGACTTTTCGTTAATTTTATTCATTTCATTCTAGGATGTGGAGAACTTAACTTTTGAGGTTGAAATTTCTTCCTTTTCAGCGCAACCGGTATGGTATGGTATGGACGTTGCCGACAATTATCTCTTATAAAGTTACTAATATACAAGTAGTAAAGTTTATCCTTCCCGCAAGGAAAAATTTCAACTGAAATAATCTTAAATTAAATTTTCAAAAATTGTAAGCAGCTAAAAAAATAAAATAGCTCGGTAATATATAATAAAAGAATATTGTTTCCTTCAATATCTCAGTTGTTAAAGATATGATTAGCGGCTGCAGAATTTTTGTGTACAAGAATCCTGCACAATAACCCTTTATGATGTTACCACAAACTACTTGTCCAATTAAGACGGGCCGTTTAGCCCGGGATTAGATTCGAGCGAAGCCCGTGTTATGCCTTATTCGGGCAATTCCGGAGGAGACGGTAATGAATTTCGCCTCGAGATATGGTCGATGTTTGCCGAAATTATGTAATGCCGTACAACGCGAAAAGGGATAACATCTGTCACAAACCCTTTTCTGTGGTGTGACCACGGTTCGAGGGACTTTTTGACGAAACGATTGGTGTAGTGGATAGTGGACCTGACTCTAACGCCATGTGTTCCCGCACTATTGGAGGAATATTGTGTAATGAAAATCACATGTGAAGAAAAATAGCGTTATTCTATTTATTATGTTGTCTGGGGTTTATACATCTATAAAATGTTTATATTTACAAAAAAAAGTTTGTGTACTTATGTGTTCCTTAAGAAGTAAAGACATTAAATGCAATTGATTTATTAAAATAGTTTGGAATCCTTGGTAAATATGAAAAATTTGTTCGATGTCTTATCAATTTTCTTATGGTAAATTGACACTCCTATCGTTTTTAAATTATGGAGTGGCGTATCTGTAGTTGACGAATCTGAGGTTAATATTCAATTGATAGACTTAAAATTTGTATAATGAATACTTTTTAATAATAGTAACATGTAAGTCATCGTATCTTTGATTTAGCAATGTCAAAAAGTGTCCATTTTACACAACACGTGTGGTGACAATGGTTAGGGGACTCTATAAATAATTCAACTCATCAAGAATCTGCTCTGTCCATACTCGACTCGCCCCCGTTCGTTTATTTGCACAATAAATATATCCGCCGCATATCGAGGGTATCGATTTCATATTTCATCCAATAAACGAGTTATTCAAACATTCGTTGGACTTTATAACGTCTGCACAATAATTACAGGTGTAATAAAATGATGAAGGGTGCAATGCCATTTAAGCTTTTATAGATGAACAAAACTTAAGAACAGATTATAATTAGCCGAAATTCTACCGCATTTTTTTTATATCGAAAATTAGCAAATGAACAGGCGGCATCATCTATAATACCCTACCTAGATTTTCATCATAAAAGAAGTGAGTTCCGGTTGCCTTAATTGCACTTAGTTCACATATATCTTTATGTATATAATTCTTCTGTTCCTGTGTATGTCACTGAAATTTGAGGAGCCTAAACTGCTGGACCGATTTTCATAAATCTTTTTGTGTTTCTTCAAGTCGATTCGAGAATGGTTTAGATTCACAATTCGGGACATTACAACTTTTTTTTATTTTTTTGTATTTGTAAGTCGTCGGATTTAAGTCGTGTATACAGGACAGACGTTGTCCTGTTGGGTCCGCTAGTATTTTTCTGGAATTTTTCAGTATTAAGAGCACAATCGAATGAGATGAAATGATGGTAGGAACAAGCGAAGCTCACCGAAATATGTCCTCTGCTTTTCACTGTAGAACGACGGCACGTAGGTTTCCTTCTTTCTTGATTCTTCGAGTGGCCACTCACAGCTAACACTATTATTAAGTTGTCCAACATACGAATTACTATGTACTTTTTCGATAACGCAAATCAGATGCACACGGGACGGAGGTCATTAGCCAACTAACCAATTACCCTCCTTATACTATTTGAGACTAGGTGTCTTGGTAAGCATTATGGACGTCGGGTATGAAAGGGGAATAGGGAGTTATCGACGTGCTCTTATAGACCAAACATGTCAATTATTAGACAAATTAAAAAAGGAAAAATGTTAAAAACTTATAAATATTGAGATAAACGTAATTACACACAAAACGATTTAATGAACAGCCTCACTCACGAGACGAAACACGTAAGTACAATACATCCACGTCACGACGGTCTTCCGTGAGGCCTGACGAGCCTGCCAATCGTGCTGCTGCACTGTCTCTACCATTATTAGAATTAATTTAATCAAGAAAATATCTAGTGATTCATTCAGTTTATGACCTTTTTAAAGTATATTATGGTAATTTCTACTCTCGGCGACTGTTCTAACTCGTATTATTATGTGTTTTACCTTGACAATAAGAACGCAAAAAAATAATATTTTATTTTAATTTATTTTAATGCATTTGTAACAGGTTTTATAAACAAATTATAGCTTCCTGAACCCCATATAAAATACACTGTATCTATGCTAAATCTCACACTGACCCATGTGTGCAATATGCTTTAAAAGGAGTACATTTTATCGTATTGTGTTTTTATATAATAATATAAGTACCTGGAGGACCGAGTTTTGCTCTGTTTTTTTTTGGTAAATCATGTATTTTGGAAATAAAAAATAAAGAAAATGATCTGGTATAGAAAAAAAAGTAAAAAATAAGTGTGTAATTGATCGTGATACGAACCGCGGCCGTCTGTTTTGGCGCCGCCCGATTACCGAACGAGCTATTATAACATTTTTTTTGCGGCGAAATATTTTTCATTCCCTGAAAACAGGGATAGAAGGACATTTTCTAATAATGAAACGTAGCTAGATCGATTTTTCGCCCCCGAATCTACGCACATACTAAATTTCATGAAAATCGCTGGAGCCGTTTCCGAGATTCCGATTATATATACAAGAATTGCTCGTTTAAAGAATAAGAGATATGGATATATCATACTGCTAGACAAAGACGTTCTCTTTCATGGAATAGGAATACTTTTTTGGGATACAGCAGAAACGCGACATAACATCTTTTTGTCGAAGAAGGCGGAAAATGCACAGTGTGTCATGCTGCATGAATAGACCAGTTCAACCGGGGCTGTTCTCCGACCAAACAGAAAATCGGCGTGAACTGGGAGAATCCATACTTTTGAGTTTTGTCTGGTAAGTGTGGTTCCAGGTAGCTGAAAGTCCACACTCTCGAGCGATATGTGCATTGTCTTGGTCTCCGCTATCAGAGAAGCGCCTGCTCAGTTGCATTTCCTCTGTAACGAAAAAAACCAAATCGCAATCTTCTCCTTAAGCCCCCAACGCATTTAATTACGTGTTATTTACGAGCGCGCCATTAATCCGCGAATCCGGACGGGCTGCGCCATTAAAAAACCGACTAAAACACCAAATCTATCCCCCTGATTACACGCTGTCATGTCGTTGGATTTTTCTAAGCCCTTAAGTCTAATTAGTCACGTTGCTCTCGCGGCTGTCCCTCTTTCGCGTCCGTATTCTGGTAGCAAACCGCGACTCGGATTAAATATACGCCTATAACGCGGTCAGCGGTGAAGGAAAACATCGTGAAGAAAGCGGCGTATTTTCGAAAACAAAGTTATTATTTCTAATTAATTTTCTAAAAAACAACAAAAAGAATATTTTGAAAATATGTGACCATCCCCAGTGGATGCTATGCTTTAACGGAACGAGGCCTTTGCTCACAGGTGAGACTTATATAGGCTTTTACTTATATATAAATAAACAGATATAAGTAAATATTACAAAAACTGTCGTACCAATATCCCTAAACACTTATTTACTTAGTATCCCAATATTAAATGAGTTATATTAAATATGTTGTACGTTTTCAGTGTTTTTTTTTGTGTTAATACAACAATGACTCAAATTCAAATAAAATTCAAATTCAAATCATTTATTCATCGAAATAAGAAATATACATTTCATTTATCGACACTCATTTAGTATTAATGTATAATTTATATATAGGCACGTAAGATATATTAATGATAAAATTTTGAAGTGTCCTGATCATTCCTATTATCATTCCTCCATACATAAACTTCAATATTGTTTTAAGCTAACAAGAAACAAAAATTGTGGAACTGAAATGGAATTGGTACCTATAAAAATGAAGATACACGTGTGATGCAGTATTTACAAAACTTTTGATGCAACGTCACAATATCGATTTCAAAACGAGACCGTTTTAATCGCGCGATACAGAATAACACCACCGTCAGAGTGTTGAACATTCATTTCCTTAAACGTTCAGCGTAATTGGCCCCCACCTCGAGATGTTGCCAGCCGCAAAATTTATTGCTTAATTACCATCAAGAAAACGCGTCGCCGCCCGAACATCCCGAACCAGATGTTTTTTATTCGCGCGGAAAAACGAAACGGCTTAAGGATGACATTAATTAATTCTTAATGAAATTCATCTTCACCCTCCCGCGTTTTAATTTGTACGCTCGATTTATTACTTGTACAATTTGTCGCGGCTCAAACGCCCCTGGAATAATTAAAACGACACTTCGTAGTCAACATTTATTACCAGGAAATTGTTAGAGCACTTGGCTTCCGACAGAACGGACAAAAGCAGTATAAAGACAATAACCTATAAGACCCATTCCCCGTATGCTGTCTTTTTGAAGTTTTCAAAAGTATTTCACTTCAAAACCTCAAAAGAACAGAGTTGATTCATTATTATCGCTTAGCTATTAATATGTTCTTTGATATGGATCTTCGATAGCAGCGTGAAATAAGGGCTCCTCAAACCTGTAGTAACTGTTGTCCGGTCTTTTGCTGTCCATGAATCCTTTGTGAGTCATCTGATCACTGTAACTCGCATCGCTCTCGTGATACTGATGACTGTTTATTGTGTTCTTGTTCGGACTCCTGTTCGCGTCAGAATTGGGATTCTTCTCAGTTTTTTTCGGTAACACCGGCGTCGGGGTGACTTTCTCGTCGAGTTTCTTGTCCTTAGTAGCGGTGCCGGCGCTGGCCAGGTCTCTATAGTTCCTCTCGTCCTTCCTCAACGCCGCGTAGGGGTATCTGTTCCTGAAGCGGTAGTCGTACCTACCGGTCCTCGAATAATCGTCGTCGAAGCGCCTATACGGATCGGCTGAGTAGCGGTACCTCAAGTCGACGCTGGGCGGCGTCCTCACCACTTCGGGCAGGTGGGCGTAATAGATGATCCTCTTCGGCTTCCGCGACATATAGCTGTCGTACGGATCGTCGTACCTATCGACCCTCGGTCCCGAGTACCTCTTACGGTCGTAGAACTCATAGTAGGGGTCGCGGCTGTACATGTCGTCCGGATAATAGCGCTCTTCGTAGTAGGGGCGACGCGGTGCCTCCGGGTAGTAGACCGCCTGCCTGGGGTAGAGGGGCCGCTGCCTCGCGAATTCGTCGGTCACCTCCGTCCTTAATTCGTCGGTCCGCGTCGACCTTTGGATCGACTCTTTATCGTTGCGCGTCTCGGACGTGTCGAGCGCCTTGTTCTGGGTGACGAAGTTGACGCGGGGCATCCGTGAGCTGATGAGGTCACCGGTGGGCTGCGGCGGGGTCAGGTGGTCTCTGGCGGGGTCAATATGGGTAGGGTACGGCAGTTTGACCCAGTTCTCATTGGACGCTCTGGCGCCGCGGCCGGTCGGCTTGTCGGTGACCCCCTCTGTGGTTTGGTGCAGTTCCGGCGCACCGCTGACATCATTGGCGATCGATATGTTCGTGGTCGGATCCTCGTCCGAGTGCATCCCGCCCGGGAGCCAGGGCGTGCGCTGGTTCACGCTCTCCCGGCTGGGCCCGGGATTGATGTTGTAGAATTTCTCCTCTTCTATCACTCCGCGCCGTCCCCTTATCGTATCCAACATGCCCTGCATCCCGTCCTGCAAACGTAATAAAATATTTTTATGAAAAAAAAAACAATAACCTAGTAGCATAGAATCTGACTCTAGGTCGGACGTCATCCGGATGACGGTAACACTTGCCAGTGTCTTCTTAAACACGTATGAATCTGTTAGAATTATGCTGTCATATCTCCACCATCTTTTAACGGCATATTTATTAATGGGCGTAATTTTAAATTACTGGACAATCCACTGGACAAAACGTAGTAAATAGTAAATCAAATTAATATTAAATTAATATTATAATATTCAAAGCTATATAAGAACGCTGTGCTTTAGCGCTTTACTCATGCTACTTGAGTTCGATAGTAACACATTATGCACGACTTCGTTGTAGAATCAGCTGCTACCATCGGTTCTTTCAGACCCGTTTGGTTTTTAAACCAAAAAAGAGCCTGTTACTGTCTTAAAACAATAAGGAATTTTGTTATAGTTGTAACTAACGTTCGTGGATAGCGTTGATCTTTTATCCTGGCATTCAATAGCCGGAGGAGCCTGCATGAAGAAGCTTAATAAACGTCTAAATGTTTTAAAAACAGAGACGTAAAAGCTGCTGCCTAAGTTTTCACTATTGCATATTATTTCTCATGATCGATATGTTATTTGTATAATTTTTTATAACAATTAATACCTCTGCGTGCTCGTCGGAAGAATGCTGGACGTCGGAAGCACATGCAGCTTGTAAAGCGACGGCTACCCAGAGCACGGCTGTTGTTAACTTCTCCATATTTTCGAATCTTCTAGCCGCTGAAAAATAAATTCTAACTTATAATACCCTTATTTAAAAAAAGTCAGTTTGGACCCATCGGAAGATGTTTTAAAAAATTGAGAGATTTGCCTTATCTGAGGGGGAAAATTTTATGGGGCTAGACAGCAGTTTTGGCTGTGGTACGTATGAAAGACCTGGTAAAGAGTAGTGCTAAAGCCTCATAGAAAACCGACGTAAAATGGAAGTAAAATTTTGCACTTCGTCTGGAGATTGAGGTAACCGGAGGCCAGACTTTAAGAGTGATCAGTTAACACAATTGATTTCTTCTTTTTACACGAATGTTATACATTGTTAAATTAAACCATTTGACGGATTTTATAGCGTTTTATTTTGATTTTAAAATATTAATTTGAAAAATAATCGGAACGCGTCAAACGTGGAAATTACGAAACTCCCATGAAATTCAAACGATAGCCTCCAGATGCCCAGCGAACCATATTATATGGAGTTATTATATCCGTAGAGCGACCGCTGACCTTGTGATAGTCTGACATGTTTTTGGACATTCGGTTTAAATGTTACGAAAGGCAGTTGTTAACAATAATTTTCCTCGTCATACAGCAACCAATTTCGCTTCATTAAAAGGCCATTTTCTATTAATTGCCTTGTCAGTATTTCGTTATTTATTTATTTCTTTGCGTGAGAAGATAACAAGAGATCCAACGGTTCACCTGTTAAGTGATACTGCCGCCATAGACATTCTTTTAAAAAAAAGTGCAACATGGTTACCTTACTCTTCAGGCGAAACACAAAAGTATAATACGTATATAAGTAGATTAGTGTAAAATTCCAGTTTCTTCTGTCTTCTGTCATGCCATGGTTTTCCCGGATGAGCCTGCCTATTCGTGAAACAGCAAACGCTGCTAAGTGACATAGACATTATTAATAGAAAGATCAAATCATTTGGTTTTACATAAGCTATTCAGTAATATATCCAGAGAGAAGACGGCGTATGTATAACTCGTTGTTGAGGGTCATTTTATTCATTGAATGAACATAAAAGAGGTCAAATAGTGGATAAGAATCTCGGAATGTGTCTTAATTCGTAGTCTCTTCCTGTATCTTTAGTAAAGCCAGCCATTATATACAATTTTTTTATATATTTGTTTTTGCCATTCTGGAAGCGAGGACGATCTGGGCCAGTATAATTACATTGTATGTTTATTATTATTTATCTGTTGCGTAGTTTTAGGCACTTTGCTAATCTAAACATTTTCGGGGGCGATAGCTGTTTGTAAATGTATCATATACGGAACCAACTGCTTGTTATGAAAGGCGAAAGTTAATTCTCACGATGTTGCTTGCTTGTATGGCCATCGAAATAGACGGGTTGCATGCCCGTCACGCTCCGAATGAACCCTACTAACGTCTGCACCGATGATCGATTGTTGTCAACGTGCGACATTGTTCTATTGAATTTCATCGAAATCTACCACTGGCCTAGTTGTATCTGTTGCAACGGATTGCACGCGTCAACGCACATCTATTGGCAATGTTTAAACACACCAAGCCAACGATTTTTATGCGATAGTAGGTTTATTTGACGTTAAGTGAATAACACAACGGTGCACAATCAGAGACCAAAGTAATTATAAATATTTCGCCGATTAACATAATAAAAGAATTTATGATTATGTATAAAAACAATAAAAATGTAAAAATCATCTAAGAAAACAAATCCATGGACTTGACGTTATTTCATTGGAAAGTTTTAAACGAAAAGACCTATGGCTAATCGCTATAGTCTTGACATTGCATTAATTTATTGTTATGAAAACTTTTACAGCGCAAAATCATATTATTCAAAGGGCATTGACAGTTTTGATACAGAGTTTGTGTTTTATCAACCGACTTCATAAAAAGAGGTTCTCAATTCTGGTGTTCTTCTTCAGGGTTCCGTACCCAAAGGGTAAAATGTCTGTCCGTCTGTCACCAGGCTGTATCTCGTGAACGGGAATAGTTGGACTGTTAAAAGTTTCACAGACGATGTATTTCTGTTGCCGCTATAACAACAAATACTAAAAAAAAACAGAAAATAAACAAAAATGAAAAATAAAATATATGAATTTAAGTGGAGCTCCCTTACAATGGACACAATTTTTTTTGCCGTTTTTATAGATAACTAGCTGCTGCCCGCGACTACGTCTGCGTAGAATAGGCTGAAGGCGTAAGATTCGGAAAGAAAGACAGATATACATAAACTATGTGTATAAATTATAACCTATGTCTTATTCTGATGTATAAGCTATATTATTGTAGAGTTTAATTAACATCCATTCAGTAGTATTTGCGTGAAAGAGTAACAAACATCCATCCATATACAGCGTATCGTTATCATCGCGACAATACATGAACACACGTCTAACGCTACTTGCCAATAATCATAAAAAAATATAAACGTTAAACAAAATCCATAATTAAAAAAAATATTTTTCAAACAAATAATTAAGTAAAAAAGAAACAAAATTTGTAACAACCTATACAACTCGCGCCACAGCGTCGTATTACAAGCCTCTCCTTCTAACAGTATGTTTTGTCTCTTTTAAATTCATTCAACCCATTCATAATGCTTTGTGACCTTTACAAATGAACTTTACGTTACGCTTTTATAGGTAAGGGTGTTCTAAAATTCTTTGTTTTGGAAAATTTAATAACTCTAAATATTGAGGTTTGAAGAATTTAAATGTTTAATACAACTTTAAAAAGTTATCCCCTATATGTGTGTTCATTTATTGTCGCGACGGTAACGACACGCTGTATACAAACTTTCGCCTTTATAATATTAGTAAGGATGGTACGGAACCCTTAATGCGCGAGTCCGATTCGCACTTTCCGAACGTTTCCTTTTTTTTGGAATTTTGAATTGGATTCCGATTAGCTCTCCTTTAATCCCATATTAAATTATATTAATATGGGATAGACTAAGATCTGAATCTTGGACTCAAAGTCCAGAGATATTTAAAGGAACTCCTTAAAATCAAATCTCATGTTAATGACTTTACCATGGTTTGATAACTAAGCACACCATTACCATACCATTTAAACAAAAGAGAACTAATATTAAACTGCTTTATAAAAATATCTCCACAAATGTAATCTTTTCATGTTATGAAACATTCATATGTCAAAGTAAGCACACAGCAAGAAGTATCATATTATATAGAGTATCAAACCCTGAATATATATACCCCTATACGCGGAATTCAATCCACAGGTAGCTTTAAAATGTGCAAATAAACCTTTCTAAATACATATTTCACTGATGTTTTTTTGCTAAATTCTTTATTGTGTCTCCAGTACATCTCTTTGGAACTTAAACTTTGATGTGGCCTATTTGTAGATATACAGGGTGGCTTTTCTAAGAGTATCATTTTTTTTTAAATTCTAGACATAAATAATGTTATATAAAAAATAATAAATATTTAAAATCAATCGTAAGTAATTAATTACATTCATTTGAACTTATCTCAAAAAGTTTGTGATTTATGGGCAACTCATTTATTTTACGCGCGATCATTCATAACTAACACGCACACAAGTTCGTGCACAGTAAAATCTAGGTATTTATGAATGACTACCGCATTGTCAACACGTTCTGTTTTTTAGGGAATAGAATGTTATTTTTTTGGAAAAAAAAACTTATTTTATATTTCAATAAACGATTATACTATCGAGTCTGAACCTCCTGTATAAATTTGGGCACATCTCAAAAAATCTCCCTGTATAGATGGGGACATACCACTTGAGGACATACAAAAATTAAACATGATGCAATCTATGGTAATCTTACAAAGCATTACATAATTTGATGTTTGGTGCGTAACAAGTTATAATAGAAAACTCACCGTTGCATAATCCGGCAGCAGCCAGTTAGCCCGTGGGTCCAGCGAGCAATGGCAGGAGACCAACAGTCCAGAGCACAGGTCACGGAAGGCGAGCGTTTTGTTTGAGCGGATATAAATGTTGCGCGTGTGCACAGTACGACGGGAAAGCTCACTGAGCGTTAAGGCAACTAAATATTATTGTACTAATGTAAAGAGATATGTATGTTTTGCCATCTGTAATTAAAACTTAAGTCTAATCTAATTGAGGAACTAGGCCAAAATCGGTTGCAGTAATGTTGCAATGGTTTTTTTATGTTAAAAAGTGGCAAACTAGCTGGCGGTTCACCTGATGTTAAGTGATAACCGCCGCCCATGCACATTTGCAACACCCGTAGGGTTACAAATGCATTGCCACCTTTAAATTAAGTGGGCCCCGGCTACCTCAATCACCAGACGAAACGCAGAAGTGTAACACTTCTACTTTACGCTGGTTTTCTGTGAGGTCGTAATATTTACCCGGATGGAACTGCCCATTTGTGCAACAATGAACACTGCAACAGTGGCCCTACAACATAATCCAACAGAAGCATAAGAAAGCTAACTCTAGCATGCTGAAAAGATGATGAACCACCAGCTGACGACCCACGTTCCTGCATTAAAAAAAAGTCAGCCTAGAGCCACAGAATCGTCTGAACCGCCTAACCGTGGAAAAACAGAGCTGATATTCTTGCTTTATGTTCATGTAGGTAAACGGGTAAAATTTTAGCGGTAAATGTTTCAAGTGGTCGCTTTGCGAACTGTCACTGCATCATCAATCTCCCACACCGGACTAAAATATTCTTAAAACAATAGAAAAACTATTTCAAATTGTATAATCCACTAGTTGTAACGGCTATGTTAGCAATGACACAACAAATAATATTATAATGTTAAATAGTAAATAATTATCAACAATGAATATATATAACTATTCATTATTAATAGCCATTTACTATTTGAATAATAAATTATTAACACATGTTTTGTATAAGTTACTACTATGAAGTAACCATAAAAGTAATTTATATAAAACCACTTATGAAAGTCTTAAAACTTTGATTCAAAATATAACAATTAAATCGATAAGTATAATATTATTTAATATGCATCGATAAAATTGTAAATTTAGAGTAAAGTGCTATTTTACTATATTATATTATATTATAGTTACTTGTCACTTTAAAACTGGAAATTTGACGGGAGTACACCTATGGTCAATGAAATAAACAAAAAAACAATGGAAACGCGCACATAACGGTGTTGCTTCAAAAATCATTCATTTAACAATGTGAAGGCACATCCGTGTCGCCTGTCGCGCTACCAACCAGCAATCAATGGGTTTTGTCAGACCGCCCTCAATGTTATCACGTGTAAAATGCAAATGAAATGGGGCTCTGTTTTAATTTTTTAAGGTAATTAAACGATGACATTCTCATGATTGACCAATTATAGTCGTATGCAGTGGCGGATTTGTACTCTTGCCCGCCCTAGGGCCCAGCCCATGTAGTAAGTTCCAGCCGCCCCTTTCTCAGAGCCCATCATATATCTTATCATCAGTGAATTTATTGTCACGATTGGCTTCCCCTAATATGCGGCCGCCCTAGGCGCGGGCTTTTTTGGCATTAGGCAAATCGGCCAATGGTCGTATGGCAATTTATAATTACCGTCCGACATAATCCTAACATGTTTAAATGTTATTGGCATCTTCAAACCTTTATCCGTAATGTGATAGACGGTGCCGGCCCAGGGATAGAGTAAGAGGTGAGTTCGCTCTAGGCTCCAGGTATCAAGGGGCGCTAATAATCAAACGTTAAAAATAAATATTCACATAATATAAAATTTTGATGGCTCCTTTTGAAAGACGCGGAGCAGTTTTAGTTTACTGGGAAACAGATTTTATTATTTAGTGACTGATGAAAACAAATACTAATTACAATACTTTATTGGTATAAGCGTTGTTGATGTTGGAGAAGCAGGTGTAATGATTAGAGATATAAATTTTTATTTGAATTTAGATCAATTTAAAAAATGTGACATTATGTTTCCTTCAATTAGTTATTAGCTACAATACTTACATAGATAAAAGATTATAATTGACTAATTAAAATTAAAACAATATTTCAATTTAATTAGAAGTGGAAGTAGTAGAAACTTTAGTAGCAGTAGAAACTTTCTCAATATTAAAGAAGCATAATAACTTCAGCTACTTTAGTTAATTTAAATTCGCTAAGTGTTGATGTTTGCAATAAATTGTTTATTATTATTAATTTAACATAAAGCCAAAGTACAATTTACTCAAATTGAAAGCACCGACTAAAAGGTGTTCAAAGATAATCTCGCTTTACCCTTATCAAAGGCTAGGGCATTGGTGGCAGACAGAGACAGATAATGGTGACGTTTCAGGGTTGATTTCTGCCCTCGATGCCAATTAAAGGTATTTTTGCACTCAGAATTCGGAAGCGGCACACCGTAAATCCGATTTGCAAGCCACTAACCTGCCAAGCACAGAAAATGTAATTTCATTTCGCCTAGTATACCAATAACCCCAATTGTTTCTAATTTTATTGTTAATATCATTAATTGTGGCATTTACAACCCAATGACTGTTGCAAATGTCCATGGGCGACATTTAAATTAACATCAGGTAAAGCTCATGTGCTGTTCTTCAAAAAAAATGATGTTATAGTTTTACTTAACATTATCGCCGCATTTGTGATGAACAAATTGAGCTTTACTTTTTGATTGTTGAAGCTTTACTTTACTCATTGATTGTATATATGTTACTCTGATATGTTGATATGTTTACTCTGATGTTGTAAAAACCGTCTATTTTATTTAAAAGTTTCGCTCCCTTAACTGATGACTCCGTGACGCAAGCGCTAAGCTTTGGCTTCTGCGGCGGAAGGTCGTAGATTCGATTCCCACACGGGCCGATTACTTTTATGACCTACCGATAACTGTTCCAGATCTGGGTGGTTATTGCCAAGGCATCGATTGGCATTGTCAAGCAGACGGCCAAAACAACAGAAACAACCTAATAATTACCATTAATAACATGATTTACATGTTGCGCTGACTCCACCTCGCTGTGATAAGGACAGGAGAAATAAAAGAAATGGAAGAATGTACAGATAATTAGAGGAAGCTTCCTTTAATGATGTGTACATTCGCAATAACCAGCTGGTGTCCGGTGCGCATCGCAAAATACAAAAATCACAGCCACCAGCGCCACGTAGCGCACTAACATAACTATGTTCGTCGAAGTGGTCATGTCACCTTTTATGTGCTAAGTTTCAAACAGACATAAATTCGCTTTAATATATATTGATTTTTACCAAAACATCTACATACTTTATTTATAAAAATAAAAAAAAAATATTTTTAAAAAATATTTTTAAAAATAACACGTGAAAAGAAAAATAGCTTCAAAAATCTGAATTAAGATTTTTGAAGCTATTTTTCTTTTTACGTGTTTGGGAAAATTGATGAGCGTATTTTAAGATGCGCGGCATGGCAACCGATAACGACTTTTTGATATTAATAATTCTAATATTTCAAATTGAGATGTTTGTTATATTACGGACAACCCTGAACGCAACACATAATATATCGGAGGCAAATATAGAAACGCAAAATAACACACCTTTTGCAATCTCAGATTATATTTTGTTTTGTTCCAATTTTATATTTCAACTTATAATCACCAATTCTGATTAAAATTATATGATTTGTGCTTATCCTACAAGTCATTCAAAGACGAAAACCTCAAGTCATCCAAAGAGGCAAACCTAGATCTATTTTGATCCTATTGACTGTGAGAGAACTCTTTGAGCCGTATAAACTGGCAAAAGGTAGGTAAACTATGACTAAGCAGATATTGGTTCAGTTCCAACCACATTCTTTTCTAATATTCCGTAGCAAAAAATAAAACTATATAATTAGTGTATATAAACCTTTAATACTAGTATTGTTCAATTCGACAAATACTTCTATTAAACGAAGATAAAATTAAATGCGACTTGTGAAAATTAGACATCATTAAAGTATGCATTATAAATTAAAGAAACACTATAATTGAGGAGTTAAACTTTACGCGTAGCAAGCTTCCTCTTAAATTTACTTCGCGTTAAGGCATCAGTGTTAGCACTTAAGTAAAAGGTAATTCATAATTATTCATCACCATCACCGTTTCGACATCAATTGTTTACGAGGGAGCGTCTGTAAAGAAAATACATTTTATGACGACCATGACAATCAATCATGTACCCTATTCACTGGTAATAAAATGTACATGTTAAAAAAATATACGACAACTCGTATATGGTCGTATGTAGCGCCCTCGCAAACAAAAAGCGTCTTGCTATGGGCGAAATTACTCGAATACTGCGCGTCTATAAACTTAAAGGGGGAATATAGCAAGTCCATTTCAGTACAATTGTAACTAATCCCCCTTCTGCCATCAATATCAGAGGTCACATTAGTAGTTAAAATATCCATTTTGTTGCAACTAATCTTTGCCTCTCCCATCAACATGTGGCATATCCCATTAGTACAGCGGGGTCCTTCCAAAGAAACAGATGGCAATTGTCCTGTGTTCGAAGCAATTTCGTCTACAAACGTGATGATGCAATTAGAAACGGCGTTGCAATTACTCCTGGCCAGCGGCCATGTTGGCCGGGGCAGTTGGCTCCTTGTCCGTCTTCTTCTTGGAGCCGGAGACGATATCGTCGATCCTGAGCAGCAGGATCGCGGTTTCTACCGCCGTTTTGTAGATCTGGAACATGTGATCATGGCATGTTTAGTGTACATATTTCATTTTTAAGCTCGACTTTCCTTGTAGAGTTCCATTTTCAGTGAGAATTTTAAATTATCATGGGGCAATAATTTATTTTTATACAATTTGATATGACAGTACTCTCGGATACACGAAACGGGATCAAATACTTTCTCATATTATTAATGCAATATGATTATTATTAATCTGTAAGGCTAAATTGTAATTATTACCACTTTTTTCATTTAATTTTATGATTTCCTTATGCAGGTGATGTTTAGGTCTAATGCATGTTTATGCACTCGTATCTTACTCCATATCTGTAAATTCTGTGATTAGTATGAGCACTAACTTCTCATATGGGTGCACTCCAATGTGCTTGGTGAGTGTGTGACAGATGGGTGCTGATCTAATCCGGATGACATGCGAGGGTTTGTCTAATGTGGTTGGCAGAGTACTGCTCTAATATGTTTGGCAGGTGAGTGTGTCTAACATGGGTGACAAGCGAGTGTTTGGCTAGTCTGGGTGACAGGCGAGTGCTTGTCTAATGTGGTTGACAGGCGAGTACTGCTCTATTGGAGTGACACGCGAGTGTTTGTCTAGTGTGTGGGACGGGCGAGCGCCTGTCTAGCGTGGATGGCGGTCTAGCGGAAGCGGGCGAAGTGGATGCGCACCTGCATCTTGACGGCGAGCGGCTCCCAGATGGCCTTGGCGGCCATGTCCACGATCTCGCCCGTCTCGCCGTCGATGCCGGCCGTGCTCACGCCGGCCGAGTGGCGCGCCCTCAGCGCCGTCAGCGTGCGGATGGTGTTCGCGCCGCAGTTCTGGGCCAGCGTGCGCGGGATTATCTCTGCGGGGGGCAAGGTACGGTCGAGTTAAACAACACGGGTTGAGGAACGGTTAAGATGAAGTCTTTGGCGGTTGTCTTGTGAGAAGGTGGTGAGCGAGCTCGCAGTTCACCCGGATGGCATATTAAGTGACAAACGAGCTAGCGGTTCCACCTGATGTTAAGTGATAACCGCCGCCCATGGACTTTCACAACACCCAGATGTTGCAGATGCCCATGGTTGCGTTTTGCGCGCCGCGTTGTTTGTTCGATTTGCGTACAGGGAGAAAATTCGCTTGATATACATATGATACGGATGAGATTTTTTCCCGATTAGTTGAATAAAATTATAGCGACTAAAATTGGACACTGGCTTCGTCTGCGCTTGGGATGTGACAGATAAGGACGGCAAGTGGTTCCCTTTTGCCGCAAAGCATTGACGAAAATGGAATCGTAGAAGAACCCTACGATTAGTAGGGGGTAGAAGGCGGTGCGTTGTTCACAAGATGTCGGTGAGCCTCCAAACGTAATGAGATTTCATATTGTGCATACCGTAACGCCGGAACTTTTTTGCTGGAGCGGGAGCTTTCTCTAAGATTAAAGCTTGTATTTTGTCTAAAGCTTGTATTTTGTCTATAATGTTGCATCAATGAGCCCAATATTATTCATGCAACAGTTTGCTTACAGATCGATCCAAAATCTCCATGGAAGAATTGGAGCCAAAAATATATGCAAATCAACAGTGTTAGTATATGTATAAGGTGGACTAAACTTGACATCTTTAATAATATAATTAATAAAATGAATAAACAAATATTACCTAAAGCTTGTGCCACAGCACGGTAAGGAGTGTTGTGTGTGGAATTTGCAGTGAGAGCTGCTGACAGGGCCATCTCCACCGCGCCACCACCCGCCACTAGTCTTGGGTTCAGTACCTAAATATATAAAATTTATCATTAGACACAATTACTATATTAGAGAAGGAAACTTTAATTGGACGCAATACAATTACAACATAGCAGAATGCTTGCTTTAAAATAACTACTAAGTATTACATTGTAAATTTGATGATCACTTCTCTAAGTCCCTTAATAAATGCTATACTTAATTGTTCTTAATATACCACACTATGTGAACATATTACTTTATTGGATTTAAGGCACAAAATTAATGTAACATACCAAATTCTTAGCCACATGTAGTGCATCTTGAAGATTCCTCTCAATCTCATTTAATACATCTTTGGAAGCACCACGAAGAAGAATTGTGCAGGCCTGAAAATGAAATGGAAAATATATAAATCATCACAGTATAATTGTTGCAGAGCCGTGATAGCTCAGTGTCCGGGCGCTCGCCTTTAATTAAATATACTCGATAGGTAATAAGGTCGATCCCCCGTGCCGGCACCAATGAAGTTTTTAACTTTAAGTGCTGACTTATCACGTGCTCCGGGGTGAAGCAAAACATCGTGAGGAAAACTGCATATTTTCGAAATAATAACAAAAAAATATACTAAATAAAATATACTAATAATATAAAAAAACATATTTCGAAGATAATTATGTGAAGTCCGCCAATCCGCAGTGGGGCCGCGTGGTGGACTATGTCCCTGATACCCTCTGTATAGAGGAGGCCTTTGCCTAGCAGTGGGACTGTTACTTTACTTTTTCTATAATTGTTTCAATAAATGTCATTATATTTTAAGTTTAAAAGTTTCTTCACACCAACCAGCAAGCAAAATTAAAAATAGAATCAACCCATAACATATTAAATAAGAACTTCCTCAGGCCACATTTTATTAAGAAATACAATTATAAAAGGTATGGTCACACAAGTGTGTATTAAACATGGCTCATAATTATAACAAACTATACTTCAACAATTTCATGAAATTGGAAATGTGTGTACATAAAACTATTTTTTGGAATTTGCTCTGTTTCATCACAGAATAGACCATGGATGCTGTCAGATGTTTGAAACGTCAGGAACTTAAAACCAATCACTGTCTTGAGTCTATATTATAAAGATGAGTGAGCTAGCTGTCTGAGACCAACAGACATATACTTATAAATGTATGGTCTACATTGTCCTCTTAAAAAAAATGAAACAATACGTCAAATCAAGCTCACCTTAGGGTTTTTACACTGTGTTACAAATGTGAAGTATTCGTCGCCAATCTTTTTCACTTCAAACTTGCCAGCCCCTGTGCCAACATCGGACTCTCTTAGCTCTTCTGTGCGGTTAACTATGGTCGCACCACAGGCACGCGCAAGGCGATTGTTGTCTGTTTTACGTAACCTGAAATAAAATCCAGATAAATAACTATGATATTTAAAATCAAATATCAATGGTTAACAAGAAAAGAACTGCTGGGAATAGCATTCAAACTAAAATTATGAAGGTGATATTTACATTATTGTCTATGGTTCAGTTATTTAACCTCAAACATTGACGAAAATTTGAAATGTAAGTGTATTGTACACCTGTGAATCCAAAATTCAAATGTTTGGAAAAGAGAGTTTATATATGTCACATCTGGTTATTTTAAATCTAAGCTCAACTAAGAGCCTGAACGTTAGCCGAGGGTGGCTAGGCATGGACACAGACATTTCCGGTTGGGCACTCTATTCGTAGAGACATCATCAAACTTTTACACCATTTTCTGTTTAGTTACTTATGTTGAAAATTTACTTTCAATTTGTAATTGTCAATTTTTTACACTCATTTTACGTCTTTGTAATGATTAAATCTATGTGGATGAATTAACGCCCACGTCATTTAAAAAACAAATCCGACATGAATCATCTCAACCCGATATACAGAAAAAATGCCAAAAATTTTTATTGTATAACTATTTTACAAGGTATACTTATAAGTTTGTATACCCACAGCACAAACCCTACTCGTCCATTTTATTTTATTTTATCTAAAATGCTAAATTTACAATGTTAAAGTCCAAATTAAGTCTTACCGGCGGATAGCAGTGATGCCAGCCTTGACAAGATAATGCTGTGCCAAATCAGAGACACCCTTTTCAGTGAACACAACATCAGGCTTCAATGCAATGATATCTTCACATTGACGCTGTACAAACTCTTCTTCCAGCTGTAACAGCTTTGTGAAATCCTATATGAAACAAATGAAACGAATATATATTGTTAATATCCCACAGCACCTACCGGTTTATAGTCTAAATAATTTCATTCAAGAAATCAGTTTAAAAATTATTAAACTAAAAAAACATTAATCAATCATAATTATTTTGCACTAATTATGTCACAACACCGTTAATGGTGTTGTGATTGTGTTTCATTGAATTATTGATTACATTTAGATTCACTATACATGATTTTATCAAACACACAAAATTTAATCTTTAAAAAAATTTAGATTTTATGTGGATTAGCATATATGTTCTGTTTGTCGTCCCACACAGCTGGAAAGATGGATGTTAACAAAGTTCTGAGCATTCTCAAACTAACAAACTGACGAAAAACAGCCCAGAATAGAAAGCAGTGAGTTCTTTTAGTGTGGGAGGTTAAGATCCTCTTTGGGTAGCTGGGCCAGCACACTTCAGTAGTATGTGAATTAAAAAATGCCAAAAACACAAACCTGTTCACCAAATACTTCAACATTTGTTTGACTCTCGCCTTTGTTATATTCTAAAGAACAATCAAGTAAGACAATACGCGGATTTTCGATGTAACGACGCATCTTTGGATGGGTGACATCTTTATTAAACATTACTCCATTCAACACGCGTGATTCTTCAATTGTGCCTCCTGGTACTTTTTCCACTTTTGCATAACTAAAACAATATGTCTCATTAATTGTAACTAATTTAGATGCTCCATTAAAAACAATGTGAAAACTAAGCAACCCTATTACCCTTGTTAGTTTTACAAATAAGTTTTCCTAATAGTAACAATTTTCAAAATTCTAATTATAAAGTACAATAAGAAATGCTATGAATATAAAGAATATAGTTCAATATAATTGAAGAATTTACAACTGAAAGTATCAAGAATACATACTTCTTAATATCAACTTCAACTCTCCCATTTTCAACAATTGTGACTGTGTTGACCGCATCAAGAGCAATATCAACTGCTACATCAGCCCAACGGCCAATGTATTTTGTTCCTATGCAAGATCGAATCTGAAAATAAGAAAGTTTATAAGAATTATTTGATTTGTATTTATTATTATATCTTGTATAAATCTGATATATTACGGATATCTTGTTATTAAAAACCTAATATTTCTCCCCATGATCAATACTTTATTTTAGATTATATTCAATATATCATAAAATTAAAAAACAGCTTAAAAGCAGCAACTGTTTTATCATTCTCATGAATCATGTCTAATTTGACTAATATCTAACTAAGTTTATATGTTTATAACATAGCTTAGTCATAAAATAGAATATCATATAATGTGAAATCTTTATTTTTATAATAATTATGATTCTAGAACTTGCATCAGTTTTGTTATCGATGGATACTATATTACGATATGTAGCCTCCTATATAATAAGGATAGCATATGCATGCAATTCTTACTTTTTAGATGTAATGAAGGCATACAATGTTTAATTATACTTTAATCTGAACACTGATCATAAACTTGGATTTGGATACTTTCTATAAGAGTTTACTAATCTTGTGACCCATAATGTAACAATATACAAAACAAACTAATCTTAAAATTAATAACAGCATCCCTCATACTATTAAAAATTCTCCTTACATGCTCTCTCTAATCACTAAAAGTTTAAAATACAATCAAATAAAAGGTACTTACAACTTCCTTCAACTTATCCTTATCATTTAAATCAATTGGAATAGAAATTTTTTCTTGAAGCAATTTAATAGCATCTTCCAAAGCCTGACGGTACTCCCTGATAATCACGGTAGGATGAATGTTTTGGGTAAGGAATGGTTCAGCTACGGCTAGCATTTCACCAGTCAAAACTATGACTGATGTAGTGCCATCACCAACCTGAAGACATTAAAGAACAGAATAGAAATTTGAAAATAAATTTTATTGATAAACTTTTGGGATCTAGTGGCAAGACCGATTTGAATTCAATAAGCAAGTCATTTCCTAACCTCTTCGTCTTGTGTTCTGGCAATTTCTATCATAGACTTCGCTGCTGGGTGTTGTACAGTAATTTCTCTTAGAATTGCGTTACCGTCATTTGTCATTACTATACCACCCATCGGGTCCATTAGCATTTTTAACATTGCTTGCGGTCCAAGGCATGTTCGAATAACGTCCGCTATCGTCTGAAATACACATCATGAGGCATTGACTTTATGTGTTACCGGTATTTTATGATGAAAATAATAATTTTAGGACAATTTAAAGGATGATTACTTTTCCAGCATTAATATTCTCCAATTGAACCTTCCGACCGGAATCACGTTTGGTATTTTGGCCTGAAATTACGAAATGATAAATTAAACGGGTTTTAAAAAAAGTTTAAATATTTATCAACAGATATTCACTTACTCAAAACTAAAATCGGTTGTTGTCCAAACATCGTAAATAATTTATTGCAATACGAAAATTGAGTTCAGTAATCTTCGACCGATTCTTTCTTTTCTCAAAATCGCGTGGTGCTGTGCAGATGATTTATAAGTGTTGCCAGTACATGATTTAAAATAATTGAAAATTGTGTTTTGATTTTTCAGAATTAAATAGTACCTAGTCAATTCTATTAATTTTTATTGTACATCTTGCCATCCGCAATACGCAAATAAGATTTAATAAAAACGCCCCGTTGTCTTCCCTGCCGCGAGAACCCTGATAGATTTTTTATCTTTTTACATTTTTATTTACTATTGTTATATTTTTCAAAAATAATAATTGTTGAAAATTATAGTAAATGTACATAACTTTAAGTTTCCACAAGTAAACTCCGCGGAATTCTGTTTGTGGATTAATTCGTTAGTGATTTTTCTTTATCGTTTTAAATTTATTTTAATTGAATTAAGCCAAAGTTAAAATTATTTACATTTACCTCCAAATCCCTCCAGAATGGCGTTAAGCAAATTCTCGAGTCACGGTGTTTGTAATTGAACTCCTCCGAAACGGCTCGACCGATTTTCGTGAAATTTCGTGTGCATATCGACCAGGGTGGAAAATCTGACAATATCAATTTTTCATCCCCCTATATGTTAAGGGTGATCCACCCCAAAAATTTTTTCTACCCTACAAATAATTTATATGGCAAAACAAAGTTTGCCGGGTCAGCTAGTACATATATGAGGCGGTTGCCACATACTTCCGCAATGCCACCAATTTAACGAGAGACATTTAGACACTTTCTTTATACACAGAGATTCTCATACAGATAGAAGTTCTCCTTACCTCTGTCCTAACTGACTAAATTAAATGCCATCTCGCGTTATCTTATAAAATCTGTGTAAATATTCATAGTCATTCTCTATTTTATTTTTACCTTTGATTAAAACAATTTCCATTCGATGCCGAAGGATGGCGCCTTTATGACTTTATTTTTATTATTTTAATTAGGTACCTTCTTACAAACAGGTGCCGTAACTCAGCGGACAGAATTTCAATAGTGAAGAGTGATTCCGCTGTTAAAGGAAAATCCAGGTGGCGCTGCGAGTGAGACATTATAACTGACATTTCTAAAATCCTATAATCTTTAGGGAGGTTACAAAGACTTGGACAATTTTGCCAGCCAGTCCAGAAAATTGCGTCAAAAACCATCAAGTAAAGTAGACTAGTACACTGAGTAAGTATGGTAGTGTAAACCGCCGGGCAGTGGCGAGTCGACTTGGCTTACAAGCTGCCTTGCTACTAGATCCAAATAGAATTGCTTTCTATTTTGGTGCAAATACACACAATAACGCATTGCAATGATGCTATTATTTATTTTATTTCTCACCTATTAGAATACCCTAGGGTACCGTTGAGGTCACCCGGTAAAGTCGGGCTTAGAGAATTGGACTAAATTGGAGTTTATCGTTAACTTGTTTGGAGAACCAATATTTATAATGATAATACATCTGGTTTTATATATTTTTCTTTCAATCCATATTGGTTTTATATATTTTCAATTGGTACAAATATTTGTGCGATACGTGAGTGATAATGAGGTTCGGAAAAACTGTTTCAAAAATCAAATCATGATCGAAAGAGCCAATGCGAAAATGCATTCTTCTGATTTGGAAACTGTCGTAATCGAGAAGAGATTCTTCGTTAAAGACGACTGTCTTTTATTTTCCTTACTTTCATGATTGTTAAACGTAAACCACGATAAAGTATTAATCACTGCGCAAACGGGACCGTATTACTAAGACGTCGCTGTCTGTCTGTCTGTCTCTGAACTGGCTGTATCAAATGAACTGTGATAAACAGTTAAAATTTTCACAGGTGATGTATTTCTGTTGCCGCTATAACATAACATATTAAAGAACAGAATAAAAACATATTTAAGTGGGGCTCCCATAAAACAGACATGATTTTTATGCAGTTTTTATAGATAACGGTACGGAAACCTTCGTGGTCGATTCTAACTCGCACTTGGCCGGTTTTCATGATATATTATATGAGTGTTGCGAATAAATCATTGAAATAAAACCAACGACTATATTATACATTTATTAACTGTTTTTTCTTACGTCTACATGGTAGGTATATTTTTTGAACGTCATTATTTGATAAACCAATAAAACTATTAAACTACTTAAAGCTAACTATCATTTATTACTACTTTCACTCATTCAAAAGTAGTGTCATGTCAATATGTATTTATTTTCAAAAAGAGATGGATCAAAATTTCTAAGAAGATACTGGAATTAAAAACAATTAAATATGTTTCACGTTAAATTGCAATATGTTAAATTGTATTTACAAAAGCTTATTTACAATAGGTAATTAAGACAATGACTAGAATATAAATGACTACGTAATAATGTATGAATTCAGAAAAATGAATTACAATACTTTTACAAAGTATCGCAATTATTCAATGATGTCCTCATCTAAATCAGAATTTTCGTCTTTGGTCTCTTCGTTTGTTTTCTCTTGGTCTTTTTGACTTTGCGCGTCGTGTAATCTTTCGTATACGCTTTTCAAATTCCTCATAATGCACGAAGTGCCATTGTTCTCACCGAACGGTCGGTTTTGATCATAGAATTTGTTAGCGGTATCATTCTGATCTCTGACCGGAACGGAAAAGGCCGAGACGTGTCGCGTCCTTTGTCCGAAATCCCTCGGAAGTCGCTTGTCCGCACCGGCGTCTTCCGACGTGATTTCCGGACTAGCGTTTGCGTCGATCCCCGTCTCAGCCGCCCTCTTCCTGTCGTAAATGTGCCCGGAGACGCGAAGGTCGATGAAGAAGTTCAGCGGGTCGACGCCGAACTGAGGGTTGTACAGAGGCGGGTACCACATCGGCGGCGGCGGTGGCAGAATCAGACTCGGTGGTGGTACTGTATCTTGATTCCTGACGCACGCCGGTTTCGCCAACTCCTCGGTCCCGACGTCGACGAAAGTTGATTGCCTACCGGGCGGCCCAGGGCTGCTACTCGGTTTGACTTGTTCTTTCGGCGAGAGCCCTATCGGCGACATCTCGTGGACCCTCGGCTGCTTATCGACGGTGAGCTCCAGCGGGACCTCGGGTCTGGCTTCGGACTCCTTCCTCTCCTCGTCCCGCTTCGGCCAGTCGCGCCGCCATTCGGTTTCGCTCTCAGCGAAGTATTTGTGCGAGCGCCGCTTGAAGCGCCTGTGGTACTGAGGCGGTCGGCAGCCGTGGCGCGCGCTGACGAAAGACCTCAGCATTTCGCTGAAGAAGAACGCGTGCGGCTGCAGCGGTAGAGCGCTGTAGAGGTACGGTGGCGTCGCCGCCAGCAGACGGGACACCAGCTCCGTGTTCCGAAGCTCTCGCACGTGGCTCTTCGCGGCGACCTCAGCTGGTTTGTCCTCCTGCATCGAGCTCATTATCTGGAACAAAATTAAAACGGTTTGTATTTTTTTCCGTAATCATCTTCGCTTATTTGAGTATCATCGGGCGCTCGACGTGAAGGAGATGCATTTCATTGAGAGTGCATTCACTTGAATGGGGAGTTCCACAATGTTGGGGAGCGCTGGGGACTTTTACACGGCTCGATTAGAGTCGCGGCCTATTTTTTAGTGAGTGGTTCTCCATACTATTACTATTTCTAAGATACTTAGTACTTTAAGAATTATATAACCAGCGGAAGAAAATATTTATATATACCCAGCGGACCGGGCAGACTGGTATAATAACTTCCACTTCACGTGGAAGTTATTACCTATACCACTTTTCGTTGACGTAAAGTACATTACAAATATGTAGCACCAATATTTGACTGAGCTATTCGACTAAATATCAATTGCTAATTATAATACAAGTAAACTTTTTTTTATTAACGAAAAACTAAACCGACTTCAAATATCTCGCTCTGTATTCATTTTATAATTGATTTTCAGGAGTTTCCTACGTATCTTCGGAGCCCACCATCCAATTAAATTACCACACGTTGACCACGTGGGAAGGACATACATATAGCACATAGACATAGCTTTCAAATAAAAAAGAATCATCAAAGTCGGTTCAGTCAGTTGAAAGTTCTGAGGTAACAAACATTACATATATATAAATATATAAATACAGTCGAATTGAGAACCTCCTTCTTTGATTCGGTTGATAAATATTAATTATTTCTAAAATCTATGTGACTTTATAAAAATTTTATTTTTAGAATAACATTTGTATTTCGATGGCAAATGTATGCAATGATAAAGTGAAGTAAAATAACAGTGTAAATAAAACATTAATAAACCAAGGTAAAGTATCTACGCACATAGACTTGTTGACGACTGTAGATTTTGTGAGTTTATTAATAATCTGCACTAACTTAAATCCAATCTGCCATTTTGGCTAGTTGATCATTATTATAAATCGCATAGGTTAGTTAATCTCTGTAGAAATCTCATTATGTGCAGATATGCTAAAAAAATATTAGAAATATCTTTAGTTACAATTTGTAGAGAAAGTACGAAAAGATTGTCGCCGCAGTGAGAATCGAACCCACGTCTTCGGCATTCGCCGCCTAACGCTTCACCTTTTTAGCTCAGTGACATGTAATTATTTACAAAAAAAAAGGACATTTAAGTATATTTATCATTAATGTACTAGTACCCATACATTTTGCTAAGTTTGGAACTAAATGACGTTGTGTAAAAATATGTTCCGAAATATTTATTATTTATCGTGTTTCGTACACAATGTCGTGCGTTGTAAATAAGCGCGTGCATGCACTTAGGCTGAAACAGTCGGCCGGTGATTATGCCCGGCTCTCCGTCGAGAACAATACCCCGCGTCCTACCGCCCAGGCATTTGTTTGAGCGACGCTAAAAGGATAGTAATATTGGTGTGAATTTAAAAAGATAGTATCTTTAGTTTGATATCTCAATAGGCGTGGCCTGTAATTTAATAAACTCGTGCAACTGCAAGCTGAGTTCAATACCCGGTGCCGGAATCAATGAAATTGATAATTTTAGGTGCTGCTGCTGACTTATCACGTGCTCAGCGGTGATGCAAACCATCGTGAGGACACCTCCATATTTTCGAAAGAATAACAAAATAAAAAAATAATTGAAAAAACATTCCAAAGATATGTAAAGTCCCCCAATCCGCAGTGGGTCCGCGTGGTTGTCTTTACCTAAAACCCTCTGTAGAGAAGAGGACTTTGCCCAACAGTCGGACATATATAGGGATAATATACTTTTTTTACAATTTAATACCGTTACCTATAATAGCTGAAATATTCGACGAAAAATGGATACAAAGTACGGTTTCAGAGGCTATGACCTATTAGTTTTGAAACGAGAAAAAAATTGATTTGACAAAACGATATCGAAAGTGCTATCTTTACCTACTGATTTCAAATGCACTTCTTTATATACCATAAAAATATCCCAATGAAATCAATAAATGCTTTTGTATACATTATTTTCTTGACTTAGAAACTAACAATTCGTTTAGCCTTAGCGGGACGGTGAGAGATTGTGAACGAATTCATCTGAAACTTTCGCAATTAATGATAACGCTTTCGTATACCCGCAACAAATAGGTAAAATAGAAATATCATTGATGCGCGGGCATTTGGGAGTACTCAAATCTTGAATTAAATTTCCTAGCGTCGCATCTAGCAAGAGATTATAAATGGGGAAGTGTTCAAAACTAAACGGTAAGAAAATTAAATAACTGTGTGTCCCACTATCGACTAAGCCTCCTCTGGACGGAAAATAATACAGCCTAGTCGGCCAATCGACCACTCTGTGAAACGACAGTCTTTAAGACATATCTCAGATATGCAGGACGCCATTAATCAAAGAAGAAAAAGAATATATGCAGAACATTCACCTTTACAGCTAAGCACATGGTATAAATGGTAAAGAGAATTTAAATCAATGGAAAAGATTCTGATTGGAGTTTTGAAAAATTTTTTTTTTTTTTTTTAATTTTTTCAACATTTTTTGTTTTAAAACTCAACACAGATTAACGTAGTATTAAAATTATTTAGCTGAAGACCTAAGTGTACCTAAGCCGCGATAAATTAAAGAAATCACCAACTGGTAGGTTTTTTAAGGTTCCGTACCTCAAAAGCTCATAGCGGAACCTTTAATCGCGGGAATAAAATCTCTTTGTTGTACCGGCGGAGGTATCAAAATCTATTTGAGATTGATTACTAAGGTCTGTCGTCTCTTCGCGATCGAAAATAATCAAGAATTATCAGTCACGTAATTCTTTATGAATCAAAAGATACTGTTATATACGTCACATAACGAATCCTATAAGGTACTTCCCGTTGACCTACAATCGTAAACTTTGACCGGTTATGACGTAACCAGTACGAGCAATCGCCATTTTTCGATGTTTCCGATCCATTTCGACTTCAACTTCTTTTGTGCTTGCTACTTAAAAGTTAAATAAAATTCTAATGCATAGAAATATTGAACTAATACGGTTGTATAACCTATATTTCCGATTGTAGTCGTTTCAATGCATAGAAATATTGAACTAATATGGTTGTACAACTTATAATTCCGATTGCAGTCGTTTCGCAATCCTAAAAGATAATAAAGTTTCTACGGAACCCTCGCAGTGACGGTCCTTACACACTTGTCATGCAAAACGAACGTATAGTGATGTTGGGGCACTCGCGATGCCGGTGCGTCTGTCGACATCGATTTTTCGGCTCAACGCTGTTTTATTGCCAATATTCGAATGACGCTAATACGTCCGCCGAAGCCCGCTCAACGGATTCATTTTGTCATCTCCAATAATACGCGCTTTTCAGCAAAAGAACTGAAGCGACGGGAAAACCTTTCACCGTATTGGATTCGCGTTAAATTAAAAGAGTTCTTTCTGTATTTCACGACTCACGCCCGGTTTCTGAAACACTGATCATCGTAGATGTTAACTTATCAGAGAGGACCAAAAGAATAAAAGTTATAAAATAATTTTTATACTGTTATGCCATACCGCCATTTAATCCAAAATGTTACGTGTAATTTTATGTGCTTGCTTGAAGCCGGGCGTACACAAACGTGAAGTAGCAGCTGCCGTCCAGTCCAACCAGTCTGTTATCCCAAGATTGTGGCTACGTCATCGGCTCACCGGGAACACGGCTGGAGGACACTCTGGTAGATATCGGATAACCACAGAGACACAAGACATTTTTGATTGGAACATTTCCAGACGCGGCAACTCATAGAGGTGCGATCGCACCAGGTGACTGTCAACACCCAAACTGCCAGGATGGGAGCAGTCCCATCGAGGTTGGTTTACATTCTCGTAGGCCATGCAGGTGGTAAATCTTAGACATACACATAGACTTTATTTTGACAAGCAACACACAGCAAGAACATTCAAAATAAATGACATGAAAATAACAAATTAAAAAATAAAAACAAAACATCGTTTCAAAAAATATAGTATCACTTGCAACCTACCGGGTGTTTGTCCTCGTGAAATTTATGTTTGTAGAACGTCCTTACAACACAGGATAATGTTATCCTAAAGTAAGAGCTACGTTTTAAAAAAAAGTAAATTAAAGTAAATACAAATTAAAAAAGAAAAATAAGTGTTAGTATACAAAGTTAAGTCTTTGAGAAAAAGAAATGTAAAGTGTATAATATGTAATTGACGAATGTATTGTACTGTGTGTTTATGTCTAAAATGGTCTCCACTCAGCAAAAAAAATGCGGGGAGTACCGCAATGATGGTTTTCTGTGGAGCCACTCTTCGGCGTGCAATCGTGCTCGGCGGTTACAGTTACAGCGGGTTTGTGACCCATTTTCTCCCGAAACCATAGGGTGCTTTTTAAGATATTTCCGTAATGATAGAGTTATTTACCAATAGCTGTCATTAAAATATTAAAACAATTGACTCCAAGCACCCCATGTTTTTTGTACAATAAAATAATTGTTTTTGTTAATCGGGTACCTTATATTTTCTACTTTTTTGTTCGGTCTCTGTATCTACAAAAGCGTGTTTATTATTATTTTTTTTTAACTTTAATTTATTTAATATTTTTAAACAAATTACGAAAGCCTACTCTATATATAGTGCTCTATATAATGAGATATATGATAATTCTATATATGAGATATATATATGATGATATATTATACATATGATATATGATGATTTGAGTACCGTAAATAGAAAGTCGTAACATTGATTTGAATATAAAATTTCATATTTGCCAATGACTTCAATGCGGAATCAAAGTCGGCAACTAGCGTTTCAATCAATAATTATTATTAGAATTTCTTTGACGTAATTATAATGAGCAATCCATATGTGAGTTAGATATGTAACAAACAAACCTAAAAATTATACTTCTATTCATAATATAACGTTTTTCATATCAAATATCTAGTAAAATATTTTAAGTCTTAGACAATGTTGACTACTGTATAACATCATGTTAATGCAGTATATGTTGCCGGCGGTTCTGCTTGCATGGAATTCATAGATAATAGGGCTTAATTAACGGATTACAGTTACGCCCCTGACTCTAGAACCGCATAATGGAATACGCCAGGAACTTTGCATTTTCCGGGATAAAAGTAGTCTATTCATCTCTGGGGTATAAGCTACCTCGATACAAACAATAATGACAATCGCTTGCTTTGTTGTCACACGAAAGTAGGACAAACAAACAAATCCGCGTTGTATACTAGTAGAGATTGGTACAAGATTAGGAATATAGATACGAGTTGCGATAATTTCGTGCAGTTATACGCATTTAAGACCAATTTTGTAAGTTTTTTATGTGAATATGTGGCAAGCGAGCTAGCGGTTCACCTGATGTTAAGTGATAACCGCCGCCCATGTACATTGACAACACTCGTAAGGTTGCATATAGGTTACTCGTAATGTTGCATATACCTTGTAATAAAGTGGGCCCAGGTTAGCTCACTCACCAGACGAAACGCAGAAGTTTAACACTTCCACTTAACGCATCTTCATATAAGTTCAAATTCAAATTTAAATATCTTCATTCAACATAGGTCTTCAGTCAAAATACTACCACCAGTTCGGGAAAAAAAAGCCACTGACCTGAGAAGAACCGGCGAAAGCGCTTTTTTTTTTTCACTACCATTTTTTAAGTAAATATATATATAAGAATATTTTTCAGTGTTTAGGATGACACAGCAATCATAACACAATTGAGTGTCTCTGTAATTAAAGATTTATTGTAAGATTTTGAAACTATAACAAATAATAATTAAAATAACAAAAATAAAAGATTTTACTATTAAACCTTTACCTGTAATTAAAGAAACGACATTTAATGTTAATAATCACAATGTCGATTCCGAAATCACTATTTTACTTATTAAATATCTTTGTATTCAGATTATTTTCATGAATTGCTTCATATGACAGCTTAATTCTTTTTCTGTTATAATCCGGCGTACAAACATAGTTTTTAAAATAAATTTTATCAACGGCCGGTGCGCGAAAATATTTAAATTAAAGAAAATATTTAAATAAAAGAAAATAATATTTTTCTTTACATCTCCCCCTCCCAGAGAAGATAAAACATAACGACTACCTACACATCCTCTTTATGGTCTCTCAAGCATAGCAAGGAGTTAGTTTCGATATATGGAAATAGTTTGACTCTAATTTCTTACAGTCAGTGTTTATCTTGTAAATTGATGTTGATATTTTTTCTATAATTTTGTAGGGTCCGATTCTCAGTTCATCAAGCTTTTTCCTATTCAATTTGTTTCCATTGTCCACAAAAACAGCATCACCAACTTTGAATTCTATATATCTTCGATTTTTATCGTAAATTTTCTTGTTGTAATTATGTGATTTCATTCTATTTACCAGAGCCTTTTTCCTGTCTTGGATCAGATCTTGCTCGGTCTTCTTACGTTTTAGTTCATTAGGCAGAATTGCAACATCTGTGCCGTTTAAAAGATACTTTGGAGCATAACCAGTGACAGTGTGCTCCGTTTCATTATAATTTTTTACACACATTTGTGCTATAGTTGCCCATGCAATTTTAGTGTCTTTTTCGTTTATCTTACATCTTATTTTATTGACCAAAGTTTGATTTAGTCTTTCGTTTAAACCATTTGAGAAGGGCGAATTCACTGCAGTAAAAATTATTGGAATATTCTTTCCATCCAAAAATCTTTTGAATTCCTTGGAATTTATACCTGGATATTGGTCTGAGAGAATCATGCCGATATCGTCTGTTTCTGCACAGTTTTTCACTAGTTTGATGAAATCATTTGCATTTTGAGTACTTGATGTTGAAATGTATGCGTACCTAGTGAAATGATCTGATAGCAGGTGCAAGTATCTCTTTGTCGACCTTGAACCCCCAAAGCCTCCAATGGTATCAATGGAACATATCTCAAAAGGTTTTGTAGCGGGGCCCAATTGGGACATCAATCCATATTTATTTTGTCCTCTGGACTTATTCTTTATACATACTATACAACTTTCGCAGATACTTTTTATGTTTTTTGTCATATTTTCTGCTGTATACAATGAGCTAATCATTCTTTGCATTTGTTTAAGTCCTAAATGACCTAGGTTTGTATGTACACTTTTGATTAATCCTATACTAAATTTCTCTGATAGAATTATTTTTTTCCCTTTTCTTAACTTTCTTATAATAAACATTATTTTTTTTCAACAATTTTTCTTTTATGGACTGTATATTTCTATTGTTAACTTGATCTTTTAGGATATCTTCTAGTTTAATCATGTTAACCACTTTTAATTGTTCATCCAGGTTTTCATTTGGTTCTAAGACTGGATTTCTGCTTAGACAATCAGCTTCAATGTTATATCTTCCTGGAGAGTATTTAATTTGGAAATCATATTGTGATAGGTAGTATGTTAAATCTCCTAATTCTTCATCCGTTCTTGACTTTATATTCATATTTTCTAAAGGCTTGTGATCGGAGAAGACAGTGAATTTCCTACCTATCAACATATGTTGCCAATACTTTACACATTCTTTAATTGCTAAGCATTCCAGATATATAGCTTTTTTCCTTTTTTGAACTTCGTTCAATTTTTTTGAAAAATATGCTACTGGTTTCTCTTCTTTGTTTTCTTGTGGCTGTTTTAAGACTGCTCCTACTCCAAGTATACTGGCATCTGTGTATATGTGAATTGGCAAGTTATGATCAAAAATGGTTAATATTGGTTGAGAGCATAATATTTCTTTCATCTCATCAAATGACTCTTGGCATTCCTTAGTCCAGTTAAAGATTTGTCCTTTTCTCAAAAGGTTATGCAATGGTTCTAATTTTATTGCTATGTTTGGCACATACTTGTGATAAAAGTTTATTTTTCCTAAAAATTCTCACATTTTTTTGCGATTTTGGAGTAGGGAAGTTTTTTATTGATATCAAGTTGTCTTTTAGAGGTCTAACTGAATTATTCTGTATTATGTGGCCCAGGTATTTAACTGTCTGCTGCAAATGTGCATTTAGAAAATTTCAGTCTAAAACCTTCACTTTTAATTGCTTGAAATAACTGTTTTAAATGCCCGATATGTTCTGAGAAAGTTTTTGAGAACAACAAGATGTCGTCGATGTAACTTACGGTGAATTCTCCGAGTTTATGTTTTCGTATAACATTACACATTATTCTCTGGAATATTGCTGGCGAGGTCTTTAGGCCGAATGGTAAACAAGTCCATTGAAAGTGACCTTCCTGTGTGACGAATGCAGTTTTGTATCTGTCTGTGACACGCAGAGGTATTGACCAAAATGCTGAAGTCAGGTCCAATGTTGAGAAAAATTTGCAATCTCTTGTTTTTACTATTAGGTCTTCATTAAGTGGAAACGGCTGTGACTGCGGAACAACAATTTTATTTAAGTCACGAAAATCTATGCACAGTCTTGATTTTTTATTTTCTTCTCTTTTATAAGCTAATGTAACTGGGGCTGCAAACGGACTATATGATTCTTCTATTATATTTTTTTCCAACAATTTCGCAATCTGATTTTCTATCTCCTTTTTATCTTCAATGGTGCAACGATATGGCCTTTTACTGCAATATTTTTCTACTATCAGATCAATATGTGCTTCATAATCCGTTACCGTTCCGATGTCATATTTGTCCTTTGCAAAAACAGATTTATTGTTCAATATCAAGTCATCAATCACTGCTTGTTTTTAATAGTCTAGATGATTTATACAAATTTTGAAGTTCTCTACACTGAAGTTTTCGTTGAAATTTATTAAATTATCAGATTTTATTTCCTTAGAAATATCAATATCTGTTTTATTTGTTTCCTTAGAAACTATTTCACATC